TTGCTGTGGCCATCAGAGCAAAATTAGGACTAGTGAGGGATGAGACGTTCCTGTTGAACACAAATGGCACCCGACTACTGTTAGGGCCTCCTTACCGATTTGTAGTTCGCCTAACCGAAAATCAGGATAAAGAAGGATGAGAAAATGAAGGGAAGTGTGCTTGTTGGGCTCGCAAATGCGCGTGGCTCCACTGAGTGGTGATGCGATGACGAATGCGTAAGGCTTAGACTTTTCCCGAATAACTTTACATGCTTGCCACTGAGAGTTACGCCTTGGCCCCGAAATTGAATCCCAAGTGTGCAAAGTGAATCTCCCAAAATGCAGATGTTCGGAAGAGTTGATGGGCCTCGGTTAAGTTCCGTCACACTGACGTCGCGACAGCTCGATACTTCGTGCCTGTGGTTAGTTCAGCGATGCACATGCAGCACTCTGCACAACGGCACCTTTGCTGCAAAGAAATATTATTTATGAATTGACTTTTATAGTCTTTGCAAATTGCGACGAAAGTGAGATTTAGGAGGTAGTACTGAATGCCTCACTGATCCCAAACCACATGGCTGCCTTAACACCACTAATTTGATTGCCAACCAAAATACTGTTTTAAAGAAACTTATTCAAATGCTGTAATCTACGCTGACCAGTGGTTAAACATTTGTTCTGTGGAGGACAAAATTCGCTTGACAATAGAACACAAGAAAAAGGGCAGAGAAAAAATTGAGGGGAAGCTGAGGTAGGCGAGGGCGTCACAGTTAAGAGCACAGTAAACAAAGGAGAACTGCCAAAATCTCCTTTTGCATTTCGCATCAAGTGCCTTCCTCTGACTGTACTCGACAATTTTTCTGTAATATTTTCTATTATCAAAATAGTTCATTCGTGGATAATACACTCACCTTAGGGCTTTCCTAATGCTGTGACGACAGATTTGGTCTATTTAGCGGCACGTAAGCTCAGTGCAGTGGATAGATAGGCGAAGTTCCACAAAGAGTAGCCAATCCTGGTGGAAATGCGAAAATGTGTTGCATCGTTGCAATATGGAATACTGATTTTCGGTTTACAAAGCATTCTAAGTGGACCATGACGGCAAAGTATCACGATAGGAATGGGTGCACAACTAAACTACTAACGTTCACATTTCATCTTCGTTTACGAATTTTCTCCTAGTTTCTACCCTTCGGACAACTTCTGTTTGAGGGCACGCATTTGCCAGCTATCTGTCATTACTTTGATAAGTGCAATTCGACTAACCACTAATGTGCATGTGCTCTTAATGTGACCACAATGATGCGTTTACATGCATACCCGTTTTACTTTCCCACATTACATTACAATACGTGACACCCGCAGAGCTGAGAGAGCACCACCAATTTTGATGCCCCACGCAGTCGGTGGTCTTGTGGTGAATGCATCCACTTTCCCTGATGGAATCATTTATTCACCACCTCCCAATCAGGTGGCAGATTCGACCCACAGCTACCGGCTTCAAATGCCCATTGGCTATGACAGTCAGGCGTGCACGACATTTCCACATTACAGTCGTCACCTCGCGATGGAGCGAACAAGACGCTTCCTGTGAATGCTGCTCCTTTCGAGCAAACTACAAAGATGACGCACATAGGATGACTACGGTCATCTGGTGACTACGCCTCTGGACAGACGTATTTCTTCCGATTTCTTGGCTTGACTACCCATAACTTTCACACTATCACGTCTTATCTTCCCAAATGTAATACCCATTCATGAAAACTATG